CTTTCTAGATATTTTTAAAATTCTATTTCCTGGTAGACTGGTTAGTCAGCTCTTGTTCCTGTAGGCAGTTTCTCCTAGGGTTAAGATTAGAAACTAAATTACCATAATAGTTTTATTGCCCTGCCTCTAGCTAGGCAGAATGTTTTTCTAGTTTCGTTACATGCCAAAACTCTGTTTGTTTCAGCCCGTGGCCATTGTCATGGTAACCGTGCAGTCCATTATCCAAGAGTGTGACAGCTACTATTTGATTTTTAGAATAAACTTGTTTGGATAAAACATACATTTAAGATGATACAACTTCCATCGGAAAAGATTTAAACAGTAATAAGCATTCATAGAAAAGTTTTAAGTTTTGTTTAAGCTTTTAAGTTTCCTTTTCTCAGATTATGACTTTAGTTCCTGTTCCTGTAGGCCAATTTTAAGATCCTTTGATTAGTATACCGAAATTTTCCCAACAGTGTTGTTTTTGCTTCTAATATGACAATAGGAAATTTTACACGTAGCCATGTATTAATATACTAGGAAAAAAGATTTAAGTTTTGGGTTAAAATCATAGTTTTATTAGAATAGAATGAGAATTATAGTGTTGTGATTTTAAAAATCATACGTTAATGATCATTATAAGATTTAATGATAAGGTATTAGCTTAATAAGATATAGCATAGTATTAAAGTTCAATCACTAGATCATATAAAAATTAAAGTTTAGATTTATGAAACTCATATAAGTCATGGCAAGGTTCAAGAATAAGTTTTGAATATAGAATTACAGGGCACTATGTTGAATCATAATAGGTTAATGGAATAAATAAAAATTAAGTCATTTAAGTAAACTTATAGATTATAGTATAGTGTTAAGTTGATAATATCAATCGTTAAAAATTATTAGGAGTCAGTGAACTTGGATTGAACCTAGAGTTAACTTAGAAAGTTTTTGTATTAATCAGAGTTTAGAACAAAGAGTATAATGTGAACGATTTATTGAACATTATGGAAAACACTTTGAACAAACTGTATTGAAATTGTGCACCTGTGACCTTAATGTAAGTTTTGTGAAGCACGTCAGGCATCATGGAATTCGAATTGTTTGCTTGGAACTTGCAAGTCTCGTGATGGTCTTGTGATGCATAGTTTGTAAAGCGCAATATACATCATGGAATTTGTACGCTCCCAGCAAGTAATTATCACACTGCTGGAGGGTATAGAAAATGGTATATAAGTTGGAAGGAGTCTAAATAAAATTTGGACTCAGTTCTGATCAAACTGATCCCAGAAGAACTGCCTCCGAGTGGTCTCTTCTCGCCGTCGTGACTCTCCGGTGCGGGTTCAACCCTCCCTCGGTCAGTGCCGGTCACTGACAATTTTGTTTTAGTGAACAGAATTCTTCATAAACCATTAACAATTGTTATCCACACAATACATTGTTATGCTGCCATTAGTGTTAATCTATTCTCTGTTTCTCGTGATTGTAGGTAAATTATGACCATACACTATTGAGTAACTTATGAAATGATGTCTCTCTTGATCCTTTTTTGTAGGTTATATAAATATATATATAATTCAGTTTTGTGTCATTATGATTACTGTAATGAAGATTATACAGGAGTATAATTTTAAGACATACCTTTCTGAATCATGACCATTGTAAAAACTTATATATTATCATGTATACATTGTACTTCTCTTAGCCTACCATGCACATGAAAACTTGTATATATTATTTACACTGAATGAAATATACAAAATTATCACTCTAGTGCTATGAATATGAGAGCTAAAAAAAAAAAGGATGCAACTGTCTTTTGCATGTTTATTTTATACCCTGAGACTTTGCCAAAGTCCTTTATCAGTGCAAGGAGGTTTTTGACAAATTATCTTGGGTTTTCAAGGTACAAGGTTATTTCATCAGCAAAGAGGGATAACTTCACTTCCTCTTTTGCTATTTGGATACCCTTTACTTCCTTCTCTTGTCTGCTCTAGCTAGAACCTTCAACACTATGTTGAACAGGAGGCATGAGAGTGGGCATCCTTGCCTTGTTTCAGTTTTCAAGGGAAATACTTCCAATTTCAGTCCATTTAGCAGTATGTTGGCTGTGGGTTTATCGTAGATGACTTTTGCCATTTTGAAGTATGTTCCATCTATGCCTAGTTGTTCAAGGTTTTTTTTTTATCAAGAAAGGATGCTGGATTTTATCAAAAGTTTTTTCTGCATCTAATGATATAACCATGTGGTTTTTGTTAAGCCAAAACAATCCTTAGCAAAAGAAACAAAGTGGGAAGTATCACACTTCCAGACTTTAAACTCTACTATAAGGCTATAATAATCAAAACAGCCTCGCACTGGTACAAGAACAGGCATATAGACCGATGGAACAGGATAGAGATTCCAGAAGCAAAACCTCAATTTTTCAACAACCTCATCTTCGACAAAGTCTCCACCAACAACCACTGGGGAGAGGAGAACCTATTCAGTAAATGATGCTGGGAAAACTGGCTGACCACATGCAGAAGATTGAAACAGGACTCCTACCTACCACCATACACAAAAATTAACTCTAAGTGGATCAGAGACCTAAATGTAAAACATCAAACTATAAGAATGCTAGAAGAAAATGTAGGAAACATTCCTAGGCATGTTGGAATAGGAAACCAATTATTGATCAATTCTCCAAAAGCGAATGCCAACGAGATAAGATAGACAAGTGGGAACTCCTCAACCTGAAAAGCTTTTGTAAAGCAAAATAAACCATCAAGAGAGTGGGCAGACAGCCTACAGAATGGGAGAAAATATTTGCCAACTGTATATCTGACAAAGGCCTAACATCTGGAATCTACAAATAACTCAAATGTGCCAAAAGGAAAAAAACAAACAACCCTATTAAAAAGTGGGGAAAAGATATGAATAGACACTTCCCAGAAGAAGACATACAAGCAGCCAACAGATACATGGAAAAATGCTCAACCTCATTAATCATTAAATAAATGCACATTAAAACCACAGTGGATACTACCTAACTCAAGTCAGAATGGCCATCATCAATAACTCAAAAAACAACAGATGATGGAGAGGATATGGGGAAAAGGGAATACTTCCACACTGTTGATGGGAGTGTAAACTAGTACAAGCTCTGTGAAAAACAGTGTGGCAATTCCTAAAAGATCTAAAAATTGACCTTCCATAGGACCCAGCAATCCTCCTTCTGTGAATATATCCAGAGGAACTCAAGTTACTCTATAAAAAGATACCTGCACATGCATGTTAATTGCAGCATTATTTACAATAGCAAAAACATGGACCCAACCCTGCTGCCCATTAAAAGTGGACTGGATAAAGAAAACGTGGTACATACACACAATGGAATATTATGCAGCCATAAAGAAAAAACAAAATTATGGACTTCACAGCAACTTGTATGGATTTAGAGTCTATAATACTCAGTGATCTATCACAGAAACAAAGAACTGAGTCCCACATGCACTCACTCATAAACAGACCCTGAACATTAATCATAATACTTTAAGAAAGGGTTTGGCTGTAGCAGGACACTGCCAGGGGAGGGGGAGGGCACATAACATCAATAAGGGTACCTAACCTTAAACCAAGCGAAGTGGGGACCAAGGAGAGGTCCAAACTTTACCTATACAATGATCACTTATGTACCTAACCCTGATTGTACCCTATATCTTTAAAAGAACAAAAAGAAAAACAGTTTGCAAGCTACATACTATACTACTTTAATTCTGGAGTGTGGGTATGTAAAACCAAATCTAGATCTAAATAGTGGCTTTCTTCAAGTGATGGGTTATGGGTAATTTTGCTTCCTCCTTTATGCTCTGTGGATATTCTGAACTTTTGTTAGTGAGACAGAACTGTTGTGATCATCAGAAAATTTAAATTAAAAGATATTTAGGGGTTGGGCATGGTAAACTCATGCCTGTAATCCCAACACTTAGAGAGGCTGAGGTGAGAGGATTACTTGAGCCCAAGAGTTTGAGACCAGCCTGAGCAACATAGCAAGACCTCGTCTCTCTTATATATTTTTTTTAAGTTTAAAATAAAAAAAAAAATACAAAGAAAGATACTTAGGGTGCCAAAAAAATACTAGAGTTTTCAAGAACAAGATTTAGTTTCTCTTTAAAGTTCAATGAATCCGGAAGTATAAATGGGAAATATTTGCAAGAAAAACAACTGTACCAAGGTAGAAATAGAGAAAAGATGTTCAAACTAGGAAGGGAAGTGCGTAAGAAAGTGGTAAATAGAACACATGTGCTGGATTAACTTCGCATACTGGATGCTTTTTTGATTTTTGTCAGTTCTGAGGAGGCAGCCTCCTGACAGTCATCATTAGGATTCACTGTAGACTGGAATACTGTGGATAGAGGACCTGATGTCTTCAGAAGTAAAATGGGGAAGAGCCCTTTGAACCCAGAGGTATAATCTCTGGACTGGAGAGTTTCAAAGGTGCCATGCAAAAGCAGCAAAAAGAGCCTCAATTTGACAACATCCCTAAAGGGCGTGTTGCTCCATGACAGCCCGTCCTGGGCAGGGCCTATCGACTCCACCAGAGGAGCCCACAGAGGCCCACCTTGAGGTGGCACGTTCCTAGCTGCCCTGCACAGGCCGATGTTATCACTCAGTGGAAGCCTGGGGCTCAAGATAATGCTATGTGGCCCCAAACTCTGGACAGAGCATGCTTTTTCCTGGCTGCTTGGGAAAGTGAAGTCTGAACTGCTGAGCCTGACACTTAACAGGACCTTGGCATTCCCCTAAATACAGACTAGATAAGGGATTTTGCTTTAATTCAAAAGTAACTTGGGTTCACTTTAGACACCCTTATTTGGTATGCACATTTGGCTGTTTCACAGAGATATCAGTTTTGCAAAGAAGCTGAAACTGATCTCTTCCCTGAGGAGGGCTGTTGGTTGTTAGCAGGCAGCAGGTCTCAGCACAGACAGGAGCAAGGTTCCTGCTGAGACTCACTTGAAGAAGACCCCAAAACTCTGTGAATTCATTTCAGGATGAATCTGCAAGGACAAAGAAGAAGTACTTCTAACACAAGCCAGGGCTGTCCACTCAGCAAATGCAAGAGGACTCTTCTCTCAGCGACTGAGGTCCTGTGATGAGAATCTGGCTCCTCAGAGGGCCACTGCCGCTCCTGCTGTTCCTCTCTGCCCTGCAGAGACCCACAGGGAGTTCTGAGGTAGGGGCAAGTGAGGAGGCAATGTCTTCATGGTCAGGGCTCCAACAGAGCATTCACCTGGCCACAACCTTTCAGTAACCCAGGCCTTAGGCACTTGGGATCTAATATCAATCATGTTAGTGAAGCATGTTAAAAATAATTATTAGAAATTAGAGAATTCTTTATAGTTTATAGGCATGGCATTATGAAGCTTGTGGCATAGAGGTTTCTTTTTCTAGATTCTCCATAAAAATTAAGCAAAATATTGCTTCACAAGACAAATAATACAAATAAACCGAGTCTATCTGGCTTTAAGCTATATCCTACAGATTGGCTCAAGTTGTAAGTATTCTAATTTAAAGTTCTATGTAATGAAAAATAACCTCATGTTAAGAGGTGACAGAGTTGCATATTTGAGATCTAGTAATTTATTAACAAAGCTTTGGAGTTCATCATGAGATTTGGCAGAACATGATATTATTGATTTGGTTAGTTTGGCTTAAATAGATTCTGTAGACCTATCTTAAACCCTGCTGTAAAGAGTTATTGGTTAAAACCACTTTAAAAATGTGTTCTAGTTTGCATACAACTAGACGATATCTTATCACAAATAACATACAAAAAATACCAAATTTATTTTAGTTCCAGTTTCAACATTCTTAACATTGACTACATGGAATGTTATCCCTTATCTTATTTCCCAATGAGTACTGTTTATCAGAAAGGCATCATTTTTTTTGCCAAGAAAGAAATGTTTTAGAATTTGGATAATTTAAAATTGGCTCTAAATGATGGACTGATGATTCTTAGTGAAAATCTATTCAAATCTATAACTTCAGTGCAGCATGCACTGGATCTTAGTAAATAATATTCAGTTATTTTCTAAAATTCATTAGAAAGGAATGTCTTTTTCCTAGAGGAGGGACTTTCGTAGGCACATTCCTGACCACTGTCCAGCCTTTTGCTCACTCCGCTACCCCAGAGGTGAGCAAATTTCCTTGTTTGGTAACTTCAGAAAGAATAACTGGGTATGCTGAGTTTGTCTCTGCTCTTCCTCCTGGCAGTGAGCCTGATAGCAAAAGACACCCGGACTCTGTTCCTCCATGACAATACTCTTATCTGGGCAAGCCCCAATCCAGTACTGGCTGCAACTGAGTGGGCAAGTCTTCTGAGTAAATTCTGGAATTGACTCGTAACAAGTTACATGTCATCAGACCTAAAGATGTGTGCTCCAACATGTCCTCATGTAACAAGAAAAATGATATTGTGATCTTCATATTTGCTTTATTCTCAATTTTTTTCAGAACTTGGGCTTTAGAAGCCCACTCACTTGGATAACTTAATACTATTCATCACTTAAGGATAAAGTTCAAGGATTTAATGTAAGTTTTAGACATTCATAAAAGAGATATTCCTTATAATGCCCATGAGAGAAAATAAGAGGGAAAGGAGAGTAGAAAAAACAAAATATAAAATAAACTAAAAGGTTATTAATTTTTTTCTTCAAAATGCTCACTTTGAAAAAAATTACTGCGATGTTAGTGTTATAAAGAGGGCTACTTCCTCCCTGGGGAGATGAAGTCTTTAGCTTTCAGTAATATTCATCAAAACCAATTCAATCTTTAGCACAGGTCACTGATAAAGGAAGGCTTAGAGCAATGTAATGACTTTGAGTAAAACTTACTTCAGCAAATACTGGTTTTGAGCAAAAGACTTAGCCTTATAGAGCACAGCAAACTGCAACCACATTCACCATCTGATTTGAAAAATTAAAATCAATATTTTATTTTCTTATAGGTTGCAGTTAAAATCGACTTCGACTTGGCACCAGGTTCCTTTGATGATCAGTACCAAGGCTGCAGCAAACAGATCATGGAGAAACTAACTCAGGGAGATTACTTCACACAAGAAATAGAATCCCATAAGATATACTTCAGAGTGTGGCAAAAAGCGTACTTAGCTTGGATTAGCCAAGAAAAAGCTCTCCCCACAAACATGACCACTACACATACTGTGGCTATCCTGGTTTATACATTGAACAGCAATGTTCACTCTGACTTTACTAGAGCCATGGCTAGTGTTGCCAGGACTCCACAGCAGTATGAACATTCATTCTACTTCAAATATTTCCACTACTACCTGACCACAGCAATCCAGCTGCTGAGGAAGAAGAGTATCACAGAGAATAATACTCGATGTTATGAGGTGCATCATGGGATAAAGAACTTCTCCTTCAAAGCCCATGTAGGTGCCACCGTTAGATTTGGTCAATTTCTCTCCACCTCCCTCCTAAAAGAAGAGGCACAAGAGCTTGGGAATCAAACATTATTCACCATATTTACCTGCCTGGGTGTACCTGTACAAGACTTCTCCCTCAAAAAGGAAGTTCTGATCCCTCCCTATGAGTTGTTTAAAGTCTTAAATATGAGCTCTCACCCAAGAGGAAACTGGCTGCACTTATGGTCAACTGGGAACCTGAGCAAGTATAACTGTCAGCTGCTGAAAGGTATTCTTTATCTAAATTGAATCCACTCTTAGGATCACAGACCACTACTCTTTTATAAGTTATTTTTTCTGAGTGGACTTGGGGGAAGGGAAGGCCAAAAACATGGAAATTGACCTTTCTAGTGATGGCACTCACAGATTAGAGTAAACCTACTTTATTCCTTGGTCTTCCCTCTCTCCTTTCTTCTCTACTACCTCTAGGAAATTGAGTTCCTGCAATGGCATTATTATGTGGGGAATTCTAGACAGAGAGGGTAAACCTTGACTGGAAAAGATAGAGCATAACATATATTGTTTTTACTTTCTCCCTCAAACTTGTTTTCTTTTTATTTCAGTGGTTATTACATGGTTAAGGAGTTCTAAAAGTAAAGCAGGAAGCAAAGTTGTTCATTTTAATGAAGTTTATATTCACTAATCATCTTCTAATGTTATAGGAGGCCTTGACAATACAGAATGTATAAAACAAAATTATTATCCTGGAAGAATTTTTAGTCTAATGAAAAATAGAAACATGAGCAAATGTATACACTCAAAAGTACTAAGTAGTACATCAGATATTTAAGCAATGGGTGTGGCTGCTCAGTGTAGAAAGTTACTCATTTTCTCCAGAGAAATTGAGGAAGGCTTCACAAAAAGGACCATATGAGACTAGAAGTGGGAATGAAGGTTTTCAGTGAAAGAAGAGAATAAAAGTCATTTTTTTTTTTTTTGAGTTGGAGTCTCACTCTGTCGCCCAGACTGGAGTGCAGTG